CACAGAGCACTGAGCCCACAGAGCACTGAGCTCCTGCCAGGTCTGTTCATTTTGCACATTTCCAGCTGCACTTTCTGGGTGATTCACAAAGTCCCTCCAAAGGTTCGTCTTGAGCAGTGCTGGGAAGGCAGGTGTTGGGGTGACAGAGAAAAGTGAGCCTTGTCCTCAAGCGAGGACCCCAGGTGAATAAGTGGCCATCCCTGGTGGGCCATGTGTGATGACACCCAGGACGTGTGATGCAGGCCACAGTGGGGTATCTGAGCCTGCCTGGCTGCTGGGAGCTGTGGCTGTCCTTCCTGGGGGCCCTGACCTGGGACCTGCAGTGTCCTGGTGGAGGGTGTGCCCTTACCAAGCAGGGCACAGGGATGGGATAAGTATGAGTGGTCTGAAGTCAGCCTTTGTGTGTTTCTGTTTGGAGAACAATGCCTGCAGTGGTGTATTCTTAAGGCCCACCTGCCCCTCCCATTGTCATTCCAAGTGTCTATCTGGGAGTGTGGCCCCCACGGAGAAGCTGAGTGCCACCGTGTGCTGCTGGGCACACAGCAGTCACTGGTGATGCCCGGCTGAGCCAGTGCCCTCTGTCCCCAGGGTCCAGGGCCTCCAACTCCACCATGAGCTGCAGCTGGCTCACTGCAGCTCCAGCACGGACCTGAACGAGGGCCAAGCCCGCAGACGGGCCTGGCAGCAGCAGCTCAACTCCCAGATCCAGCAGGCGACCCTGCAGCTGCTTGTCAGCATCTTCAGGTACGTAAAGTGCATTTCTGGCACCTGTGAAGGTGGCCAGCCATCCTGGGTCCCACACAGGGGTGCTGTCCTGGAGCTTAGGCCGTTGGAATGAATATAAGACAGTGATGGGAAAGAGACCTGTCCCCACCCTGTCCCCCGCTAGCCTTTTCTTATGATTATTGTGATCAGCAAGGCTACTGGAGTCTGTTCTTTTCACTCTGACCCTGCCAGTGCCCTCCTAGCCCCCTCTCCTTCCAGTAGCCACCTGTGGTTGGTGTTTCCACGGTGGCTCTCTAGGGACATGTGTGCCTGACACAGACCTGGAGAGAAAGCTCGTCCTACCGGCCTGTCTGGCTGAGGCTCAGGTGGGTCTGGGAAGGGCTCTGTCTTGAGAGGTCCACGTCCAAGGGCTGGTGTGGGGACAGACATGTCACTTTGATGTGACTTACAAACTAGATTATGAGACCACGTAAAGGACCCATCACCAGGATGGATGGTGCGCTCAGGATTTGCTGTTAGAAAGTTTTCTTTCTCCTCTTCCCGGTCATAACACCATCAGGTGTCTCCCGTGTGCCTTCCCCGCCCAGCACGTGAGCAGGGATTAGTTACGAGAACTAGTGGACTGCCGTCATTCCATCCTGATGCAGCCTGCGGGTCGGGCTGGTGTTTCTGCCTAGATGTACAGTCGTTTAGGGAAAGGTGGAGACTGTGCTGAGCATTATTCCCCACGCTTGGTGACGAGTTATTTTTACTGCCAAACCCTTCAGGCCTCTCCTTTCTTCCAACTCTCTCTTCTCTTTCTCTTGCAGTGTCTTTCTCTCCTTCTTGCTGGTTTCTCCCTGAGCCCAGTAGCAAAGGAAGGCGCCCCCGACGCTCCCTGAGCCCAGTAGCAAAGGAAGGCGCCCCCGACGCGGGTCTCGGCTGTCCCGGAGGGGCCTCTGCCCAGCAGAGCTTTAAAAGTGTGGTGCCCACTGCCTTGGTAGTGCTCTGTGTGGTCCCTTCAGAATGGAAGTTTTAACGTCCTTATTGTTTTGATGTATTTATTTATACAAAGCAAATAACTTAGGAAAAAACGGGATGGTATCTTACAGACAGGTGGCGTTACTGCAGCTAAAGAAGCATAATTAGCATGGTCCTGAATTTGTCGTTTTCCTTTTGTTCTGTGAAGACAAAATCTTTTTTTTTTTTTGAGATGGAGCCTCAAGCTATCCCCCTGGGTAGAGTGCCGTGGCATCATGCTCACAGCAACCTCCAACTCCTGGGCTCAAGCGAGTCTCCTGCCTCAGCCTCCCAAGTAGCTGGGACTACAGGCGCCCGCCACAACGCCTGGCCATTTTTTGGTTGCAGCCATCATTGTTGTTTGGCGGGCCCGGGCTGGGGATTCGAACCTGCCACCTTAGGTGTATGTGGCTGGCGCCTTAGCCACTTGAGCCACAGGCGCCGAGCCAACAAAATCTTTTTATGAAGAAGGTTGATTTAAAAAAAATATGTCCTGGGTGGCGCCTGTGGTTCAGTGAGTAGGGTGCCAGCCCCATATACTGAAGGTGGCAGGTTCAAACCTGGCCCCGGCCAAACTGCAACAAAAAAATAGCTGGGTGTTGTGGTGGGCGCCTATAGTCCCAGCTACTTGGGAGGCTGAGGCAAGAGAAAATCGCCTAAGCCCAGGAGTTGGAGGTTGCTGTGAACTATGATGCCACAGCACTCTACCAAGGACAATAAAGTGAGACTCTGGCTCTAAAAAAAGAAAACAAAAACAGAAAAACAAACAAAAAAATACTCCACAAGCTCAATGAGTTCATTATAAAGCAGAGTATAATTATGGGTTATGCTGTTTTATTTCCCCAAGATGAAATAAAATTTTCCCCTCTACAAACTGAATAGGCCCTATGAGGTTATGGGCTCAATTTTCAGGATATCTGGATCTGGGAGACAGTGCACCAGAGTCCCTATGGGGTGATAAGTGGCAATGAGAAAATGGGGTCCAAAGAGGCAGAGCGGCTTGTCTGGGCAGACTAGTGGCTGAGTGAGCTGGCTTCCCTGCGGTGTCATTACCCTGAGCTTGAGTCCACAAGCATGAACAGTGACTGGGCTTTTGGTCTTAATTCACATTAGGAAGTGGGCCTGGACAGACAAGGACACAGTGCTCTCTGCCCAGGCTTCGAGAGCTTGACCACAGAGGACATCCAAACCATCTCATTTTGGAGGGCACAATTATCTTTCCAAGGAACAGGGATTTCCAAAGTTTGCATTTCTTTTTTTCTTTTCTGAGTTTTACTTGGTCACCCTCGGTAGAGTGCTGTGGCGTTACACTCATAGCAATGTCCAACTCTTGGGCTCAAGCTATTCTCTTGCCTCAGCCTCCCAAGTAGCTGGGACTATAGGTGCCTGCCACAATGCCTGGCTATTTTTAGAGATGTGGTCTTGCTTTTGCTCAGGCTGGTCTCCTGAGCTCAGGCAATCCACTGCCTTGGCCTCCCAGAGTGCTGGGTTCACAGGCATGAGCCACCACGCCTGGCAAAGTTTGCATTTCTTATGATTTTCTTTTTGCTACTAAAAGTGGTGAAGTTTTTTTAGGTACTTAAAAATATTTCAGCACAGCCCGTAGCTCAGTGGGTAGGGGCCACACAAGGCTGGGTGCAGGCCAGCTAAACAACAATGACAACTAACAACAACAACAACAAACAGCTGGGTGTTGTGGTGGGTGCCTGTAGTCTCAGCTGCTTGGGAGGCTGAGGCAAGAGAATTGCTTAAGCCCAAGAGTTTGAGGTTGCTGTGAGCTGTGACGCAATAACACTTTACTCAGGGTGACAGCTTGAGACTCTGTCTCAAAAAAAAAAAGAAAAATTTTAACACTTAGACGATCCTTTCTCTTTGTTAGGGAAGTGAAGAATCATTTAAATTACGAACATAGAGTATTTAATAGTGAAGAATTTCTCAAAACAAGGGCTCCAGGGGACCAGCGGTTTTATAGACAGGTAAGAGGTGTGGGTCTGGGTGTCTGTGTGTTTGGTCTCTTACACTTCCCTGTATTTAAACATTTCTCAAAATAAGTTTTCTCAGCATCTTATATTTTATTAAGTATATTAGCTTTTCCAAGAAGTTTGCTTTAGCATGGGTCCTTTTGATCATATGGCCCTTATTTTTAAAATCAGTTTTGTAGAGTATCACATTCTTATAATAAAATATACCCATTTTAAGTGTGTGGTTTGACAGATTCAGAGTTGCATAACCAGTTCCTCAGTCTGGACTCAGAACACCTCTACTGTCCTAGTCATCCTCCCTGACCTGAGGTTGCCTCTGCTCTGGGTGTGTCCCCATCACCAAGGGGTGCTCATTTCAGAGGCTTGTGCCAGGGCAATCTCATGGGCTGCGCTCTGTCTCCTGCTTGATCTGTGCTGCTGTGGGTCTCAGCAGTTTGCCCCTTTTTACTGCTGGGACTTTTCGATATAACAGCATGCTTTGTTATTCTATCTACCTACCTGTTAACAAGCATTTGGAGCTGGCACAGTGGCTCATGCCGGTAATCCCAGCACCCTGAGAGGCCAAGATAGGGAAATCGTTTGAGCTTAAGAGTTTCAGACATGCTTGAGCAAAAGTGAAACTTTCGTCTCTACTGAAAATAGAAAAATTAGCCAGGTGTGCTGGGCGTCTGTAGTCCCAGCTACTTCAGAGGCTGAGGCAGGAGGATTGCCTGAGCCCAGGAATTTGAGGTTGGTGTAAGCTATGAAGCCACATCACTGTGCCCAGGGTGACAGAGGGAGCTTTTGTCTCACACACACACAAAAAAAAAAAAAAAAAAAAAGAAAGAAAGAAAGAAAAAAAGAAAGAAAGACAGAGAGACAGACAGACAGGGAGGCAGAGAGGTCACTAATACACATAGGGGTTGTTTCGGTTCTTCTTGACACAGAAAGTGACCTTTGGGCTGCACTGGCAGCCAGTGTGGTTGTGGGTCCTCCTGGTCTGTCAGGGCTTGTTTTCACACCTTTGGGGCAGGTCCTCCCCCCGCCCCCCCGCCACGGGGCTCCTGAAGGCCCCAGTACCAGCCAGGACCCTGCCTGCTGGCTGCTTGGTGCTTACGCAGCTCTCTGCCCCATGAGCTCAGAGAACGCCTTGCTGCAGATTCCTGCCTGTTCCTCGCCTGGCTTTGTGCAGCTTCACCCTGTGTCTGAGCACCTCGACCTTCAGCAAAGCCTGGAGGGGACCCCTGCAGACTCTGGGAACTTTATCCTGTGTAGTTCCTGCCCCAGACTTCCAGCTTCCTCAGCCTCCACGGGCCCCAGTCTGTCCCCTCAGCTGGGCAGCCATGAGCCTGTATCTCTGTCCCACGAGCAGGAGTCCAGCCTGGTCTGCCTCTTGTCCAGTGTCTGAAAACAGTTGTTCTGTCTGTTTTCCTTGCGTTCCCTTGTAGCTGGTTGGGAGGGTGTGTCTGTACCTGGTGTGCTGCTCTGTGGCCAGATCTCACGCAGCTGTTAGAAAATATGGTTTTCTCCATGGGAGACCTGTTAGACCAAACGTCTCAACATAACAACAGTAATTTCTTCTGCCTGTGCAAATGAGGAGCAGAAAACAACTCGTTTACTCATTCAGTGGATATGAGCATGAGTGGTGTACCCAGTCCTGTGCTGTGCCAGGCTGGGTGGTGAGGACGAAGCTGTCGGGGATGCCGTGGGTTGGCCTCCCGGAGCTCCTGTCCTGAGTATATCCAGCTCATTTGAGCATCTCCGAGCCAGGGAAGCCGAGAGGCTTTGGAGCAGAAGTGTGACCCAGCTGTTGAGAGTGTCATCTATGTCTCAGGATAGCAAGTGTGGACGTGAGAGAGCAGCTGGGTGCTGGGGAACAACCCTAGGGAGGGACAGTGGCACCAGCCGGGGATTGGCACTGTGGAGGTGGTGAGGGTGTTTGTACGTGATAAATGTAACACATTCTTCCACATCACATACCACAATAACACGTACAGCCCCGGGGCAGTGCCCAGAACCCTGAGACCCACTCCGCAAAAAGAACACAGGAAAAGTCCAAGAAATGGAACCCAGGATCAGAGAGGAGCTCAAAGCTCACAGCAGTTTCATGCCTGTGGTGATTGAGCCTTTTCTGAGTTCCAGGGGACACTGTACTGAGTTCCCCAAGCCTCCCTGTCCCCCTGGATCTCGCCCTGGCCTTTCCTTAGCACCCTAGTCTGGTCTTTCCATAATGACCTGGAGTTCTGAAGCCCACTCAGCTGCAGGCAGAGGGCTGCCGGCTCCGATTGCTGGGCTCTCTCTAGATGGCCAAAGACCCTCATATTGCACCTCCTGCATGGCCTGCTCCCTCCTTCATCCTTTTGTGGGCATTTTGCGGGTTGGGTTTTTTTTGTTGTTGTTGTTTGTTTTTGTTTTTGAGACAGAGCCTGACTCTGTCACCTTGGGTAGAGACCTGTGGCATCATAGTTCTTAGCAACCTCAAACTATTAGGCTCAAGCAATGCTTCTGTCTCAGATGGGATTATAGGTGTGAGCCACTACACCTGGCTCATTTTTCTATTTTTAGTAGAGACAAGGTCTCACTCTTTCTCAGGCTGGACTCTAACTCCTGAGCTTAGGCAATCTACCCTCCTCGGCCTCCCAGAGTGCTGGGATCCCAGGCTGAGCCACCTGACATGGCCTCATGTTGGGCTGAGCCACCTGACATGGCCTCATGTTGGGCTGAGCC